ATCCAAGTCCAATGTTCGATCGATCGAACATTTATTGGCAGTGAGCTGTCTTATTCCCACGTGCACCCGAACTCCTACCTACCACATAGTACGGGATTAGATATTTTTGGAGCTATATTCCTGACTTAGTGACTAAGAAAATGACCTCCTATATAAAGGGAAGTGACCCATTTTGTAAAAGAGGAAGAGCTTTTATCATTTTTTTTTTTTTTTTACATTGTAATTTCATTTTTCTCTCTCTAGTAAAGTTAGAGATTAGGGTTAGAAGAAAAGAGGGAAGTGGAGGCACATCTCAAGACCCATCTCTAGACCCACTCTCTCTCTCCATCTCTAAAGCTTCAAAGAAGAAGAAGAAGAAGAGGAAGAAGAAGATGGAGCCATATTTGGAGCTTGCCCTGAGGGTTTCATGACCACATCTACCTCTTCCATGATTGGCTAGATCTACACTTAGGGCTTGGATGAGCCCTAAGTCTTGTGTAATCTAAACCCTTGTATTTCTATTTTTGGGGATTTATATATATTGTTGTGATTAGTGCTTAGCCTTGTGATTGTTGATTTAATTCTTCCTTATGATTCTCTATTTTAATTACATATTGTCTTATGTGTGATTATTTGGGGAATTATTCTCTACACTAGATTCTCTATATTGGTTGCATGTCTATGTGTGATTAATTAAGGATTTAGTGATGGCTAAGCATAGGTTTTCATTGAATGGGTTTGTCAATTAATTTGATGGATTATATTTATGCTTGATGGGTTGTTCTACAATTTAATTCATGCTTATAGGTAGGTAGACAATCTATGCTTGATTTGATATTGCATGGCTTATTATTGCAAATTCTATGATTCTCTAGATTGACGTGTGCTACAATTGTGACTAATTTGATGGGTCATGCTTAGAATTGATGGGTCATGCTACACTTAGCTTAAGTAGACAATTCATTCTTTAATTTGATGTTCCATGCTTAATATTGCAATTGGTAGTCGCATTTTGTTCACAACAATGTATGCCCCATTAATGGAAAGTAAGTGGTTAATTATATGAGCTTAGTGGTGATTCCAACACCTTAAGTCCTCTCTTCATATCTCTGAAATCCCTATCTCTACTTAGTTTATTTAATTGTATTTTCATTAATTGAAGTAGTTTAATCATCTCATCAAATCTCTTTTGTAATCTTGTGATACACTAGAGTTGAAGTCAAATTCCAACACGTATAATCCCTTGGGACAATCCCTATTCACTCTTGTTACGTTAGTAGTAGTGGTGGTAGTGGTTTTTATAAATTTAAATTTGACCTAAAAGGCTTTTCTTGAACCGCACATTCACTACATTATTTTGACGTATACAAGCGGCCTCGTCAACATTCATTTCAATTACTATGACTATGTGGTAGCCTAGTCAACCATATTTTTATACCAAAATGAGTCTTTCACTCATTCATGGTTTATCAATTTTGATAACAAATTCGAAAGTCAAATCCCTACCTAGTTTCTAAAATGGTGGTCACAACATGGCGCCATCCCATAAATCCTTCCCCTAACCCTTGCAGAACAAGTCAAGTACTTTCACACAGTTTACAAAGTTAACAAACACAATTCACAGTTTCCAATTCTCTTGTTCTTCTCCTGCAAGTAAAAAGTTTCATGGATATTCAAATAGCAGTATGATATCCATGATAATGTCGTCATCTGATGCCACTATGTTAAGTGGTGGGATACATTCAAAATTGACCACATCATTGGTTATGTTCAAGATAAATATCCGATACATAACCCATCATAAGTTACTCCACCACAACAACAGGTCCTCAAACAAGGTAAACCAGAAAGGACCTCCTTAGTGAACACTTCTTGTTCTAGGAAAACTCCCAAGTAAGAAAAAACTCCAAAGTCAGAAATTGCCAAGCTCAAAGAATTGGCAGCATCCCTTATCGATCGCATCTAGGATCTCTCCCAAGAAGAAGAAGAGACTGATGATGTATCCTCTGTTGCTACTGAATCAAGTCACCCACAGGATCCATATTCTGATCTTTTGTACCAAGATTGCCAAGATCCCTTTGCAATCTAGACTATCTACAGATCAAGTCAAAAACACTATTTGCTATAGTACCAAGTCAACATTACTATTTGCTACAGTAACTATCGGGCGAATCACTATTTCTACAGTCCCCCGATAAAACACTATTCATCTGCAGTGTTCGACAATTATAAGGAACAGTAGACACTATTCATCTACAGTAATATTCAGTCAGAAGCATCTTTCTAAAGCCAAAAATCACGCCACAAATTACAAAAAGATGTCTCCAACAGTTCTCTAACAGTGCATAAGCTCAGCTATAAAAGCGGATGCCAATTCATCTGTTAGGCAGGCTTCGAGAGTTCATCTCAAACTTAAAATTCTCATTGTAATTTTGTAATATTTTCAGATCTCTCTGATTGTATTACATCTCCAGTATGCTGTATACATCATACTACTATCAGTAACATGTAAGTTAAATTTTGTAAGTTTTATTCCAGTATTGTAATTTTATTTGATTTTAAGTAATTTCATTTGATTTTAAGTAACTCATTTAAGTTTTATTATTATAATTTTCATTATTATAATTTCATTTGATTTTATTATAATTTCATTTGATTATAAGTTAATGTGCGCTTATATATAATACCTTTCATAACAATCCTTAGTTATTTAAATCATATATCCATAAATATCCATATATATATATATATATATGTACGGGTCAAGTGCAAAAAATACCCCTTAAGTATGCATATAGTGGATATCACACCCCTCCCGTGTAAAAAACACCCTTGAAGTTTCAATTTGGTGCAATTAGGCCCCCCTCACACCTTTAAAACTTAAATTGACCAAAATACCCTTACTAAAGCATTTTATTAAATATATAAAAATAAATTTTTTTGTAAAAAGACCAAAAAGGATGCACTAAAGCAGTGACGTTGTTTTGCAAGCAGCACACCCATTTTCATTAAAACTTTAAATCATTTCATTTTCCATTCATTTGCATCATCACTGCCTCGCGTTCTTGAGAGAGCAACCACAAACCCTAGCCCGATTACACTCACAACCTCATGTTCTTGATACTATAAACCCTAAATCCATTCTCATCATCACAAGGAGGGGTCACGTTCTATAGAGAGAAACCAAAACCCTAGCCATAGGTTGCGATCGTGATCACGATTTTCCATTGAAAACCAAAAACCTTAGCTTTAAGCTCCATTAACCCTAAAAGTATAAATCGTTTAAAGATCGAAGGTTGGTTCATGTCCTTCTGCGAAACCTGAATGTAAGTTCTTGGTAACCCTTATTTATCTTTCTATTTTATTTATGTCCATGTGGTTTTTCTCTCAGTAAGGATTTTAATTTTCTTCTTTGTTAGGGTTTCTTTTCTTCTTTGTTAGGGTTTTATTTCCTTCTCTGTTAGGGTTTTTTTCCTTCTTTGTTAGGTTGTTTTTCCCTTCTCTATTAGAGTTTTAATATATGTGATTTATTGATGGGTATTTTTTTCGCTCTCTGTTAAATCACCGCACTACATTTCCTTCTTTATTAAGGTTTTTTTCCTTCTCTATTAGGGTAATTTTCCTTCTTTGTTAAGGTTTTTTTTCCCTTCTTTGTTAAGTTTTTTTTTTTTCTCACTCATAGAGTTTTAATATATGTAATTTATTGATGGGTATTTTTCTTTCTCTATGTTAAATCACCGTATTACATTTCCTTCTCTATCAAGGTTTTTTTACTTCTTTATTAGTGTAAATTTCCTTCTTTGTTAAGGTTTTTTCCCCTCTTTGTTAAGGTTTTTTTTCCTTCTTTGTTATGTTTTTTTTTTTTTTTTTTTTTTTCCTCTTTCTATTAGAGTTTTAATATATGTAATTTATTGATGGGTATTTTTTTCTCTCTCTGTTAAATGACCGCACTACATTTCCTTCTCTATTAAGGTTTTTTTCCTTCTCTTTAATGTAATTTTTCTTCTTTGTTATGGTTTTTTTTCCTTCTTTGTTAAGGTTTTGTTTTTCCTTTTTTGTGATATATGTTAGGATTTATATATATCTATTTCTCTCTCTACAATATGTCTATAAAGGTAAGCTTTTATTTTTTTATTTTGTAATTGACTGATCGAATGTTACGACTCTGTTTTTTTTTCCTTTTGACTTTGTAACAAATGATTGATTTTGTGATCCATATTATAGTGGTTTTTTTTCTTCTTTGTTAGGGTTTTTGTTTCAAAAAATTTTCTTATTGCTTTTGTGGTCCCTAGCATAACATATTGATTGCTTTTGTGGTACCTAGCATAACAGATTATTTTTTTATATATGTTTTTACTATAAATTGTTAAATTGGCTATTTCTATCTTCATTCAATATATTTTTGCCATTTTATATGTTTGTGTTGTTTGTTTATGTGGCTAAGAGTTACTGGTTCTCATAATGGTGGACCACATAGCCTAAAAAGTTAGGTTTTTTTTTTTATTCTTGTCTTTGAATAATTTTTCCAAACACACTGCGACTTTATTGTTTATTGCTACACATTATTCTTTATTGTACATGTATACTGACTTTAATATTGCATGTTTATTACAACTTTATTATTTTTTAATTTCCACATTGTTATTTATTGTACATGTATACTAACCATGTTTTTTAGTGTCCATGCCATGATATTGTATGACGGATCTATAGATCCCGCTTTGATATGCATGGATAGTTTCAAAGTTTTACTCATTGTTAGTGGTGTTGTGTACTTTGTAACTATTTAGAAAATGGAGACAAGTCATTTAATTCATTTGCATCATTCAGACAATTTCGACAAGCGTAACAAGTATGTTGGAGGTGACTTGGAGCTGTTTGATAATGTTGATAGTGATATAATGTCATATATTGAACTTTAAGGCATGCTCAAAAGCCTTCATTTAAATGCACACAGCAAGATTTTCTACATGGATCCCATCCATGGGCATTTACTACAAGTTTTTAATGACCTAAGTGTGATGGCTATGTTTAAGATATACAAAAATATTCCACTGATCCACATTTATGTCAGTAAGCCAAATGAAGAGGATAATGAAGCTGTTAGATCAGTGGAAGAAGAAGTTGACACTGATAATGACAGTATTTTCAGTGTTAAAAATCAGAATGCTGACAGTAATGGCAATGCTGAAAATCAAAATGTTGAGAATGAGAATGCTAACAGTGATGGCAATGTTGAAAATCAGAATGCTGAGAATGATGAGTTTGGTAATATTGAAGTAGATGATGAGGAATTGGATGATGTGTCCCTGTATGCACTGTGTAACGACCCGGTCATTTGCCTCCCTTTCCTTTTTCTTGAAATTTTACGAATGAATTTTTTTCGTTTAATTTTCTTTTTTGAGCTCTGTTTTGTGTCGTTTAGCGTCATCTCGAGTGCTCGGAATTGGTTTTTGAGACTCTTTCATGTGAATTGACAACTTCCTTTGAGGACCGAGTCATTTTCCTATTTTCACTTTTCGGACACTATGCGCCTTTCGTCCTTTTCCCTATTCGTCCTTTTCCCTATTTTGTCTTTTCCCCATTTGTTACATTGTTGGCACAACCTCACTTCTCATGCTCAGAGTTGGTTTTTGACTTCACGTGCCTTCATCTTGAGTGGTTTCCTCGAAATACGTATCTTTACTTTTGCAAGAAAGTATTCTGGTTGCTCCCGATGTCCATAGGGGCGTGGATGCACAATTCTTCAAAATCTTTTTCATTTCTTAGGGTGTTTTTCATAAATATCTTTTGAAGATAGTTTATTTTAGGGGTATCTAAGAAAATATCTTTTGGAAGATATTTTCATTTTGGGGTAGTTTCGCGGTTAACCCTTTTTGTAGGGGCCAATGTCCAATTAACGAAAGTTATTGCAAAATGCCTCGTCTAGAGCCTGGATCCTCGTACGGGATTCATTTTCACATTTCGTCGAGTTGTGGACTCTTGGAATTTCCTTCGGGTCATATTTCTCCAATTTCAGAGTTTCTGGACCTGGATGCCGCCAAACTTGTTCGGGGCATAACTTTCTGTTCGGGACTCAATTTTTGACACTATTTCTTTCGTTGTTCATATTTTCTTATTTTGAATCTTTTTCGTTCATTGAGTTTTATTGTTTGAGCGCATTTGCTCAAAATGCCCTTTTCCGGACCCGGCGGGACCCTTTCGGGGGCACTTTTTGGATTTTTCTATAAAAGGGGGAGGAGATATTTCATTTTTCATCTTCTCCACACACCTTGCATGACCAGAGCTCCCATGGCAGCCCAAGGGAGGCTGCCACCACCTCTCTCCTCTTTTGAACATCATTCCTTTGTTAACAAGTTGAAGTGCATTTACGTTTTGTGTTCGTGTTGACTACGCGCTTCTTTCACCCTTATTGGAATCCATTTTTGGCCAAATTTTGAGTTTGGGTATGAGGTCAAGTTGTGATTTTCATGGGGCTTCTTTCAGATTCATGTAGATTGTGTTGTCCCTGACAAAACCCTTCGGTTTCGGCGGATTCTTAACACTTTTCTTCCGGTGGAGATTTGGGATTTTCATCTCAAATTGAGGTAGGGGGTGTTATAGGTTTAATTCTTGTTATATTACATGCTATTGATGCTTATACAACTTGTTTACATGCTTAAATATGAAATCTAGAGATTTTATTATTTATTTTTCTTGTATTGGATTTGATTTTCCCGGTTGCTCATGGCTTGTTTTAAACATGTAGCATGGTAATATAATACTCTATAATATGGTCATTGACATATATTAAATTGAGAGAATTCAAATAAGTATTAAAGATTTTATTTAATATTTATCTTGAATAAATATTTAATTCACATGACCTTAACTAACTTGAAAACAATGTGTGTTAGCATATTATCTTAGGCTTTAATTCACTCTTCACCATAGGTAAGTTTGAGAGTAATCGGAGTTATTTTGAAATCTAGTAATACTTAATTAATTTGATTAATTAATTTATTCCGGGTGTACTATTCACCCCATTGGAATTCCGACTTGACATTCTTGATATGCATGCTATATGGTTTCACATATATTAAATCTAGAATATTTGGTTAGGTTTTGAAATCTATCATTTATTATTTTTCTAGTATTAAAGTTTAATGCTCAAGGCCATTCATTGCATGGAATTCACTTGTGTCGTGTTTTTAAATCATGTCATGGTATGTTGTATAACATATTTAAATTTGAGATCATTTGGATGAATTTCAAAACTTAGAGATTTTAATTAAGTATAATAATTAAAATCCATTCAATAGCTCATTGGTCTTGATTAAGTTTCTAACTTGGAATTCATGCTTTTCGTGACAAATTCCTTCATATGTATCAAATTGAGAATAATCGGATAAGTTTGAAACTTATATTCATTTACTTCCTTTGTATGGAACTTAATTCACATGGTTATGTCTTGCATGAAATGGACTTGTAACTTGACATTGAACTTGACCTTGATATGATCCTTGACACACCTTGTTCATAGAACATTTGGACTTGCCTTGTAATCATGATAATTTAATCCCTTAGGTTGATTAAATTTTCCTTCTTATGCTTCCATCGGTTTAATCATGACCCCTTGTATCTAGGTTTCATTAATGTACTTAATGAACATGCACACTTGTCTTGGAATGATTTAATTACTCATATGTTGCTTAGAAAGTAATTGAATTATGTATCTTATACTTGTGGTATATTTACTTCAATGAACTCCATGTGCTATATATCTTGGATGTTGTCTATATAGTTGCATACTATGATTTCTTGTCATCTCACATGCCATGATAGTTGATGAACTAGGGGCATGACTTGTGTGTTCCAAAATCTTGGTTGTGCATGAAACGTGATTAATGTATTTATTGTATATAATACAATCTTGACTTGCCCAACTCATTGATTTTGGGACTTAGGATATCAATCAAGAATTGATATGGCTAGGAATTGGTTCTAGTATGGGGGAATGTCCTCCTACAACTATAGTGCGCACTAGGGGAAAGGTACCCATAGGTTAGTAGCCCTAAAGTGATCTTAAGAGTATAGTTTTAATCCGGGCGATATCCAAGTTTCCACATTGGTTGATTTCGCTATTTAAATTTCAAGTTGCTATTCCTTGAAGATTTAAACTTGTCGTGTTATGTGAAATGCTCCAATCTTATTTCATTGCATAGATATTATGCCTCATTCGTGATTTCAAGTATACTCCTTGTCATGTTAATTGCATCGATAATATAATTCTTGTTAACATATGTCCGAGTATACTTATTGTCATGTTATATGGAATGTTCCATCCTTGTATACTTGTATAGGTATTATACCTTGTTCTTGATTCCGTGTATAATTCTCATCGTGTTAATTGGTTTAATTCCAATCATGTTAATTGCATCGATAATGTAATTCTCGTTAATTTATATTTGAGTAATTTTCTTGTCGTGCTTTATGGAATATCTCTACCTTGCTACATTGCATAGATTTTGTACATTATCCTTGACTTTGTGTATTCTTCTTTTCGTGTTAAATCGGTATGTCCCAATCATGTAAATTGCATTGATAATGTGATCCTTATATTCCATTGTTTTCTTATCATGTTGTATGTATCTTACTGGTTATATTCATTGGATTATCCCGATCTTGATTTGTTTCATACATGTTTATGTATCATGATTCTTGTTGCTTATACTCTAGGGTAGCTTAGGATGCTCCCTGAGTCTCATCTTGACATAGACGTTAGGTGGCGTGAGCCCTTTGACATGCTTCACCATAAGGTGATATAACCATAAAACGCTAGGTCGATGCATGCTCATCTCCTACGAGTAGCTTTATGTTAGTCACCCACGTAATGGGGATATTTTTCAGGTATGAAGACTTGGTTCATGTTGCTCATTGCTTCTTGGATGGATTGTAGCTTTCGTGTTTCTATTTCATGCAAATGTTAGCATGAAATACCATTATGTAACCTCTTTGTATCAAATTTGTATATTTGAAGTCATGTATGTAAAGTGTACATAAGTGCACTCTTTTCAATGTATTTAACATGCATGAGATGAGGCCGGAGGCCAATGATATGTATCTTGCTTTCTATGCACTTTCGTTTTCAAGGCTTATATGAAAATGCTGAAAAATGCTTAGACATTATGTCATAACTTTTGCATCGGGTGTGGGAATTTCATTTTTATTCTTTCGTAGGATCTCATTAATCATGTATGAAGTGTATCCAAGGGCCAAACGGTAATTTGAAATCATTTGTTAATTTTGGTTTTCAAATTTACCAATTCTTGTGCATTTTCACCTTTTTGGCCGTTGGGGGGTCGGATTTTGTATCGGGTCTTCTCGGGAGCCGTGGACCATTCCCGCGCGCTTAAAAACACTAAATACACTTGCGTGCACATTCATTTCAACCTAGAAATGCATTTAGGGCCAAATGCATTCTTGGTGCAAAGTTGCATTTTTTGAGTTTTTGACCCCTTACTGAGCTAGGGGCATTTTGGGCATTTTACAGTGAGTTTTTTTTTAATTCTCTCGCAAGTCATGTAGAAAACTCAATTTTGAAGAGGGTTTTTTCTTTGTGTTTTTCTAGAAAAATTCATCTACTTGCCCATTTTTACTCTCTGTTCTGGCTAATTTTAGAAAAAAAAAAAATGCATGTAGCAGCTTTTTGGGTCCCTCTTGACCTACACTGTTCTAGGGGCATTTTAGGGATTTTACAGCGTGTTTTTTTTTCGTTTCTTCCATGTAACTGGGTAGAAAACCTGATTTTAAGGAGGTGTTTCTTCTTCGTATTTTTCCAGAAAAGTTCGTTTAAGGGTCCGTTTTTAGCCTCAGTTCTTGGAAAAAATTCAAAAGTTGCCTTCCGTCAAAACACTATTCCTACCCAGATTTTCGTACCCGGAAAAGTTCGTTTTTATGAAACTTTGAGGCTTCATATCTCCTTCGTCCCGACTCCAAATCAAGTGATTTTTGAGTCTAAGTTTATTAAATTTTGCTTGTCTACCCAACGGTATGAACGGTTGCATCCAATTCTATTTGAAAGGACCATTTTACCCCTTGCAAAATACCCTTACCGCATTGATTTGAACCTAGAAGTCTATTTTTTTGAAATTTTGAGGCTTCATATCTTCTTTACCCGGACTCCGAATCAAGTGATTCTTGAGTTTAAATTTATTGAATTTTCCTTGTCTATCTAATGGTCTGCTCAGTTGCATCTAGTTTTATTTTAAAAGACCATTTTACCCCTTGTAAAGTACCCTTGCCGCATTGATTTTAACTCAAAAGTTTAATTTTATGAAACTTTGGAGTTTCATATCTTCTTCATCCGGACCCTGAATCAAGTGATTCTTGGGTCTAACTTGGCTAATTTTTCGCTGTCTTCCCAGTAGTGTGCTCGGTAGCACCCGATTCTATATTTTCAAAAATGACTATTTTGCCCCTGGGGGCTTAATCGTTATTTTTCCGATCTCTTGCTTCCGCACTTTATTTCATTGAGTTCCACGACCTCATAGAAGGTCATCAAAGTGTATTAGAGGTGTATTGTGCCTTGGGAGATCGTTGTCTTGTTTCTTGCTTCCGTATTTCGGATCCGTTACCGGATCATCCTTTCGGTTCATCACTGACGCACTGGCCTAAAAATCAAGGTCGTCACACACCAAGTGATGAGTTATGGAGTATTCACAGTGAATCTAATGATGAAGAGATTAATAGTGCACCTAGATAACCAAAAACCAAAATTGCAAGGGATGAGAGGAACAAAGAATTGGTTATAGGCATGAAGTTTGTGAATGCTACAGAATTTAAAGCTATTTTAAGAGAGCATGCTATTGATAACAGGTATGACATAAGGTTTAAAAAGAATGAAAGAAAAAGGGTCACTGCTATATGTGTGAATGGATGTGGATGGAGGATACATGCCTCTTTGAGAGGAAATGGCAACTTTGAGCTAAGTACAATTAAACCTAATGATCCTGATTGCCCTGAAGCTGAGATAAATAGGCAAGCAACTTCTACCTACATTGCAAAGAAGTATGTGCACAAATTTAGTATGCTACCTGAATGAAAAAATAATGGTATCCAATACCATGTTGTTGATAACTTAGAGATTGAAGTGTCTAGGTTCAAAGTGATGAGGGCAAAGAGGAAGTCCTTGGAGATTATTGAAGGTCACCATGAGGACCAATTTTCCAAAATTAGAGAATATTTTGCCCTTGTAATGAAGATAAATCCTGGTAGTGTTTGTAAGGTAAAGACAAAGTTGGAGCCTGATAGGATGTCAACAAGATTGGAGAGAGTCTTTTTCTCTTTAAATACAATGTGGAGGGGGTTCATGGAGGGTTGTGGGCATTTCATTGGATTGGATGGGTGTTTCTTGAAGACTCCTTATAATCAGATTCTACTTAGTGTTATTGGTAGAGATGGAGACAGTAGTTTTTATCCCATTGCACTTGTTGTTGTTGAAGCAGAGACTAAGGACAGCTGGGATTGGTTGATAAAGGAGTTGATGGCTGTTATTAGTCCCTACAAAGCAATAACTTGGATTTCAGACAGACAGAAGGTAAATTTGTTTTTTTTTTTTTTTTTTTTTTTTTTAAGTAATTCAGTTATTTTGTTCAAATGTACTCATATGCAGTTTATATATAAAACTAACTGAGAAATTGTTTTATATGTTCCCTTAGGGCTTGGTGGACACACTTGCATCTTTGGATGGTGGTCAAGATTATAGGTTTTGTGTTAGGCACTTGCATGAAAACTTTAAAAAGAAATATCTAAGCATGAAGTTGAAGCAAATGGTGTGGAATGCCGCAAATGCATTCAATAAACCTGAGTTTAAGAAATATATGCAAAGTATAAGGGAACTCAATGGTGAGGCATATGACTGGTTGTGCAAAATCCCATTTAGGTTTTGGACCAAGTCTAAGTTCACAGATTCTTCCAAGTGTTATCTTAATAGTAATAATATGTGTGAATTATGGAATTCACACATATTAAAGGAAAGAGACAAGCCTATCATTTCATGAGAGGAGGGAATACATGGGGCAATAAAAGGGGCTTTTGTGTCCAGCTGCAAAGGCTAAAGTGTTGGCAAACAAGAAGGAATCAAAGAATTGTGTAGTATATTTTTCTTCACTATCTTGTTATGATATCCAAGATGAGATTGACAATGAGTGTGTAAATCTACAAGAGAGTGTTGGACCAGGAAAGGGGGGTTGAATTGGTCCTAGGTACTTTTTTCCTTTTTCATTTGAATGTAAACATACTTAACATAGAAGCAATCAACCAACATAATCATGCAAATCACATGGACACAAGATATACAAGGAAACCCTATCAGTAGGGAAAAACCTTGGTTCTTAGCCTCAGCCAATAAATGCCTCCACTAGTAGTATGAACCTTGTTACACACGCAGTTATCTCACTCAATGCACACACCCTTGTACAAGAATAGATACTAGCTTTCACAACCAATCCACACAATAGCTCACCATCTTCACTTGTTGCATGCAAGTAGGACACTGACTTTCACAGCCTCTACACACACACAAGATCAAACAATGTGCACCCAAGCACATCCCCAGTGCACAACCCCTTTGCTTCGACATACAAAGCTCTCAAGAGCATAATCAACAATGAATAGAGGTTTTAACACACCAAATACAAAATACTTAAGGTACAATATGAGATAAGAGTGGATACTCAGCTATAAGTATGAAACAGAAGAAACCGTAGCTTCACTTTTCTGCAACAAGAGGGTAGATCAGTCAAATCACAATACAACTTCACTTGATGATCAAACTAGGTTTCCACAGGCTTGAATTTGTCAAATACACTTGCTTATATGGATAGCACAAAAAGATAAGCAAGGTAGAACAAAAATAGCTCCCACAAGGCAAAAACCCTAAATTCAAGGGTATAAAGGTAACTTTATAATGCAGCTCCAACAATGGCCTTCAATTGCCTTCCATAGCTCTTAGTAGCTAAGATACACTTGCTTAAGAGATAAACTCGGTGAAATCAGCAACGTATAATAAAGATAGCACACAACAGCCTTGTTGTTCCCAAAACCTTAGCTTTAGGCTTCAAAGGGTAAGATTGTAATTCAGCCTCAGAACCAACCCAATTTTCACTTCCTCAGTCTTCAATAGGTAGAATACACTTGCTCAGTAAATAAGATCAATGCAAACAGTAAGGTAAAACTTAGATATCACAGTTTAAGCTAATACCCTAATAAACCCTAACTTTGTAGCTTCAAAGGGCAACTCTGCAATGTAGCTTCATTTTAGGCTTACACTTGGTTCCCATGGCCTTGTATCATCAAAATAAACTTGCTTCATTATAGAGAACAATTTAGACAGCAAGTTATATCAATAAACACTCACAAGCAGCCTTAGTGTCAACAAACCCGTGCTTTTAAGCTCACAAGGGTAAGTTTGTAATTCAGCTTCAAGAACTGATCAACCATCAGTCCCCCAGTATTCAATATTCCAAATACATTTTCTCACATATCAAACACATTAAACACAGCAGGGTACAGTAATGTATATACTCACAGCAGCTATTTCAGAGTTACAAATTAGGTTTTCAGCCTTACCACACAATGCCTTAAGATAATTCAAAATCACTTCAAACAAAAGCTTCCTCAGCATGAAAAGATGTATTTCACTTAGTATAAAGCTAGGACAAGATATATCAATAGAGGCTAAACACAATAGCTAACAAAGCAACAAAACATAACTCACAGCAAGTGTATTTAGCTGCACCTGAAGCTTTCTATTTTGAGCGGTAAAATGGTCAATTCGTGGCTAGACCTTCTTGTTCTCAGTTCTTATAACTTTCAATTAACATATATAACATGCCCCAATTACCACTTTCCATTTTACATCAATGAAATAACAAATCACACTTCTAAGTAGGCTTCTTAAGACAAATTCTGCAGCAGCACTGTTCCGAGGGTAATCTTGGTATTTCAACACTATCAACCTTTGGATTTCCACTCTCTCAAATTTATTTTAACTATATAAACATGCTCAGTTGAATAGCACATCCATAACAGCATTATATTTCATTTTCACACCCAACCAGATTTCCAAAATTGCTATAATGCTGAAACTAGTATGGTTCTCAGTACTTAATTAGAACAAGTCATTCCTTAGGTCAAACCTTAACTTAGATAGCCTCAACACAACATTTTAATCATGCTCAGATGATAAACAATCAAAGTATAGCAAGATTATAACAATATATACTCAGTTCCAGAAGCTTAAATTAGAAAAATAACCAAAACTGGAGGTTTGAGATATGGAAATCAATACCAGCTACAATATGTAGTTCACAGCACCTTTAGTAGTTGTAAATCACCAAAACAAGTATGCTCAAACCTTATTCAAGCTTCAGAAATGACCACAGCAATTTGGAGCCACCTCAACCTCTCTTTGCACCAGAAATTCAACCCAAAACAACCTCATTAATCTTCACTGCAACTGTGATGTCTTTTGGCAATTTTCTGTAAATCATTGAAGCTCAAATATCATGTAATATCACAGAAAATGTTCTCCATTGTTAGCTCTCGAATAGGACTCTCTCTCAGCTGCTGCTGCCTTTTTCACATTTAGAGGCACACACTACAGATGCTATAACAACACATTTATAGCAACCCCAATGGAACCCTACTATGGATAAAACCTTTTTGCATTAGCCAATGAATCAAGGATGTTGGTAAAAAATCTCTGCAGGACCACAATGCCACGTGGCAGTGATGTATTCTTTCAACATATTTCATAAATTCCTTCACACAAATACCCCTTCGCTATTACATATTGCCCACCAGAGAAATGCTGAGCTTTAACACATAAATGAGGACCATTTGATACAATGCACCTTCAATAGAATGCTTCAAATTGTCACAAAAATATAGTTTGACCAATATACCCTCGAGACTATGAACAGAATTACTGAAATACCCTTCAATGAACACAACAGAGAACTTTGCTGCAGTTTTTATATTTAAATGTAACTTATGAAATTCAGGCTTGTGGTGCAATGTACTATTCCCAGCAAACGAAATAATGTTACACACACATGTAGAAAGACAGAAATGCCCTAGTGACTGTAAGGAACAAAAACATGAATAATGAACCCTTAATAACCCTTGGCAGCCCACTGAAACTGAGAATGTTAGTATACTTCTTTGACATTGAAACTGCAAAACCTTTCGATCAAACATGGGATCAATAGAGAAAAGTTGTACATATGGGGAATAGAATGTCACAAGTATCCTATGCAAGCATGCCATTGCTGTTATGACTAAGAAGGAACTACCTATTGAAGATTATGTTAATGCCTACCACCATAGGTCAACTTTTTTGAAGTCATATGCATTCAAGATCAATCCATTGGTCCTTAGGCACATAAAGAAACTGCCACTTGTGCCTTTGTTCTCTCCAATAGCTAGGAAACCTCCTGGAAGGCCAAAGAAAGCAAGAATGAAAGCCCATGGTGAAAGTACATCTAAATCAAAAAATATATTCAGACAAAGACCTTACCTTGTGTGTGGAAAGTGTAAAGCTCATGGTCACAATGCAAGGACCTGTAAAAACCAACGAGTAGAGCCTAGACCAACAAAAAGCAAGGGTGGCAGGTCTTCAAACTCTCAACTTGGAATATTGCATATTTCTAGTGGTGACATTCAAGATGTTGAGAATCAAAGAGATGATGGGAATGGTAGAGGTAATGTGAATGAGATAATTAAAAGAGTTACAGTCACACAAGGGACTAAAAGATGGATAGTAGGGACAACACAAGGAATAGGTGATGGGATTGTCAGAGGGCCTGGGAGAGGAAGAGCAGCAAAGACAACACAAGGAAGAGGTGATGGGATTGTTAGAGGGACTGGGAGAGGAAGAGCAGCAGGGACAACACAAAGAAGAGGTGATGGGACTATTAGAGGGACTGGGAGAGGAAAAACAGCAAGGACTAGGGGCAGTGGTAACATTGGAGTGACAACATAAGGAAGGGGTGCATTAGGCAGTGGTAATAGTGGAGTGACAACACAAGGAAGGGGTACATTTGGTAGTGGTAGGGGTAGTAGTAGCAATGGATTGACAACACAAGGAAGGGGTGCATTGGGCAATGTTCACATTGAGACTTCCAACTTTGTAGATGTTCTAGTCACAGCTAGTGAGTTATATTGTGCTTAACACCCTATTTCATTAAAATAATACTTATTTGTGCCTTTAATATGACTTAATTATTTGCTCAAAACTGTATAAACAGGTTATTAATGTTACACAATCTCAAATTGTTGACATGTCTACTCTCCTATCACAAGCAATCCAAAACAGCCAAAACTAGTGGTATTAGGTATTGCATTGAATTTACATTTATATAAATTGGTGGCATTTATTTTATTTTATTGAATTGACATTGCTAAAACTAGTGTAGCATTGCATTGAATTAACATTGCCAAAACTGGTAGCATTTATTTTATTACATTGAATTGACATTGCAAAAACTGGTATGGCTTTGATACTTATCCAAAAAAAACAAAACTGGTGTGGCATTGCATTTAATTAACATTGCCAAAACTTATGGCATTTATGTTATTGCATTGAATTGTAATTGCCAAAACTTGTGGGATTTATTTTATTATATTGATTTGACATTGCCAAAACTGGTGTGGCATTGATACTTATCCAAAAATAAATAAACTGGTGTAGCATTACATTGAATCAACATTGCTGGCATTTATTTTATTGCATTAAATTGTAATTGCCAAAACTTGTGGGATTTATTTTATTATATTGATTTGACATAGCCAAAACTGGTGTGGCATTGATACTTTTCCAAAAATAAATAAACTGGTGTGGCATTGCATTGAGTTTACATTGCTGGTATTTATTTTATTGCATTGAATTGTAATTGCTAAAAGTTGTGGGATTTATTTTATTATATTGAATTGAAATTACCAAAACTGGTGTGGCATTGATACTTATCCAAAAAGAAATAAACTGGTGTGGCATTGC